GACAAGCCTATTCAAATGGCGGCCCGCGGGCCAAATGCGGCCCAGAAGCAACCTGCGAGTGGCCCTGCCTGTGGTCCTGGCAGAAGCACAGAGAAAACGCAAAAAATTTATTCATTAATTCATTTTAAAAAACTTAAAAATTCCTACAGCGTAGTGTAGACTGTGAATGCAACACTCCTAGTAGCCTAGCAATATTTAACCCACAATGCACCGTGATGTAAACATATTAAACAATCATCGTAATATATGATGCAACAAAAAACTCCAAAAGCGCAAAATTGACAATGAAAACTGTCGGTTTAACCCTGCCTGGACTGACAAATACTTATTCATTTTACCGAGTTTAATAATCTTACAACCAGAGTTGTGAGGGTCCTGTACAGCCCAAGAGAGAGCTGCAGCATCTTCCCTTCGTGTTTGCTTCTTGGCGAAGAAGAAAAGGCCTTTCACAGATTCTGAAACAATGAAATACTGCATGCTGGCCGTGGTGCATGCATGCTGCTATTAAAAACGTACCCCTGTAGGACAGTTCAAATATTCGTTGAGTTGAAGTTCTGGCGTCAGACGAGTTTGAAATGCTGTTAGATGACCTGAAGAAAACTGATGTAATGTCTATAGCAGGAGATCACAGACAGAACTGATAATGCACAGTTATGTGTATATGTCCGTTTTTTGGATGGGAAATTGCTCGGTTTACTACCGTTAGAGGGACACACAGCTAGCGAAATGATGTTTGAGAAGATTTAAGCTCTTTTTGAGGAAAATGGTCTGGATATGAAGCGTGTCTGTATACTTGTGACGGATGGGGCTCCATCCATGGCAGGAAAAGTGAGTGGTCAGCGAAATATTTATTTTAATTTGAAAGGGAATTATCAAAATGTTTTTTGTTATTATTATTAGTATTTCAAATGTGCAAAAAATAGTTTAGTTATAGCTCCCTTTTTTTTAAATGGACCTTTTGGTGTGCATTTGTGAGAGGTCACCACCAGATTTATAGGGGAAAAGGAATGAAATAAATAATTGTTTTTCAGTACAGTTGTGTGGGTTTGAAATTGATCATGATCTGCTGCTTACTGGCTTCAAAAAAAATATCTGGCCCAGATAAATTCCTCGGTTTGAAAATCTGGCCCAACTAACTTCGTAGTTGAATAGGCATGCTGTAGGATGTCACAGCAGGAAATGTCCCCATTTCCTACTAGTTCTGTTGTTGGCCATTACAAAATGAATGTGCACTGGCTATCCTCTGGAGTTTGACATTAGGCCTCCAGGGTGTACTCTCAGATGTTTTCACCTGGCTGCATTGATTCAGCAGAATTATTCAGTTCAACAGCAGAGTGGTAAATGAGGAAACTGCTGCCTCAAAAATAAAAAGGAAAAACAAGGAAAGGAGGGCTATGAAATGAGTTTATAGTCACTGATTTTCATAATTAGAAAACTGTCATACCTCTGGTAGATATTGGCAGTTTGAGACATTATTTCCAAGATATACCACAGTGGCACAGTACAGGAAACTATATCTTTTCCCTTATTTTGTACAGCCACCTGAGCTGATTGTAGCTCATTGAAAAAAGAAAATAGTGAGAACAAGCAGCCTTTTTTATTTATTTATTTGAAAAATATAATCTACAGTTATTTTTCAGCAGAATAAAAATTAATAATGGTTTTCTACATAATGGGACAGAGATAGACTAGAGCTGGAGGGTTAGTACATTAAATCATTTTTTGTTGCTTTCATAAATCTTAAGCATAATTGATATGCAAACTCACAGGATCCAAGACTTAAATGGTGAGAAGTCTGTGTGTGCATGTCCAGGTATGTGTATGTTCCTCTCCAAAGCCCTTGGGCCTGACCCTGCACGACCGAGCAGACACTTGTGCCATTTTAACGGAATAGGGATGACAGTTAGACTGAGATACATGGCTGCCTAATCCTAAGGTACAAACAAATATGAACTGTACAAAATCTCAGATAATCTGTGATTTAAATCAGTGGTTGTAAGTATTCAATATTTACATCGGCCTTCCTTAAATTGCACTTCATTTAAATCAAACTGGTAGCAAATCTATGAGGTTCTGAAACAAATATGTTGCTGAATATTTGCAAGGATAGAAAACAACACACTGACTGATGACTTCTGATCAAATTACTTGAGTCGGATGTCCTGGAAGGGCTGATTAAGCTGAGAGCCCACTCTCAGGCACACATTATTGCTCTGAACAAGGCACTAACACTATGACCTTTGGGATAGGGCAGATTTCCCACTTGTTGTTTTCTTGTGATTGTAGACAATGTATTTGTTTGCCCATTAACTAAAAAATAAATTGCATAATGGTAAATGTTGTTTTGCAGACAAGCAATATGATCAAAACAAAGGTCAGCAAAAATGATGCAGTTGGTAAGGGCTGGCATGTTTATTTTATTTGATTATTTCCTTCATTCTGCTCTTTGCAGATCTTTGCATCTATTGCAATATATTTATTTTACATTGTTCCCTTTTGTTTTTACCTTAGTTCTGCCTATTAATATTATGTTTTTTGTTTTGTTTATTTAAAGTTGCCAACATTTCAGTGATCTCAAACATTTTGAAACAGGCTGTTCGTGCAGTGTGTCACTTCTGTGTGGAAAAGGATCGTCTTTATCTGAATCACAATCAGAATCCTTTTATTGCCGTTAAACATCAGATGTTTAACATTTTTAATAAATAACAACCCCCCCCCCCCCCCCC